GCGCCCGTACCGGACCGGGACCGGCAACGGGATCGCAACCCTCGGTGTTGCGCCCGTACCTTGCTCAGCCAGTGAGCGGCCAGTCTGTATGTGGGATCCGAACCCTCGGCGGGAGCGCCGCCGTGCTCCCAAGCGGCACACTGTAGCAGTGCGCCACCAGGCCAGCCCCTAATGTATAATTTTTATATTTTTTTCTTATAATTTAAACTAATAGCATCTTCATAGCCCTTTAGGTTTTTAAGTTTTCAATAGACTGTACAATTTGGAAATTAACTTGTAATTCCTAGACCTGTATAAAAATGAGTTAGTGATGTATACCAGCACTTTCCGTAATGATGGAAATGTTCTACATCTGCATTTTCCAATAGTCGTACTACTGAGCACTTGAAACGTGGCTAGGGCAACTGAAGAACTTAATGTTTTAATTATATTTAATTTTATTAGTTAATTTGAATTAATTTAAATAGCCACATGTAGCTAGCCAGTGGTTACCATATCGGATAGCACAGATGTAGATTAATTAGTAGCTAGAGTATCAATTTCAGTCATTTGAACACATGGCTAAGAACCAAAAAGTCAGTAAAGAAGGCTTCTAAGCAAACAATATCATAATCCCTGTAAAAATATGTATTTTACTTATAGGAGCTCCTGTCTGGTGGTCCTTAGAGTGTGTTACTCTTGCTTAAAGATATAAGATTACTTATTTTTCCAAAAGTGAGTGGGTGAGAAGTAGCAAATTAGCCTTATCTATTGCAGTGGCTTCTGAGGAGCTTCCCACTTACAGCACAGTATAGTAATTAATCTTCAATGAAAAAATTGTTGAGTACTCAAGAAAAGCTTCGATTGTGTTCCATTTACTCTGTATCTTCAGAAAAGAATGGAATCTTAGAGATTTTTCTTTCCAACATTGAAATATAAATGGTTTGGCATTTACAGGTAAAGGTAAGTTTCAATAATTAAGAAAATACTGTTCCTCAGTGATGGCAGATAAATGAGGTGCTGCTATAAAGTAAGTCCATTTTATTCTAAAATTCAGCTTTCTGAAATGAAATTGAGTTCCTACTATAGAAATGGAGAAAAAGTGGCAATAGCTAGAATTTTCATGTTTCTCACCTGGAAGTATCTTTAAATACGGTTCTCTTGTGATTATATGTTATGGTTCTTTGTGATTTAAAATTTGAGACAGTAAAGGACCTGGAAAAAATGTGGTTATATGACAGTTATATAGACCAAATGTAGTACAACTTGGTTTTTCTCTAGCTTAAATAGGGAAATCTAAGCATTGTCTTTTTATCTCTGAAGTTCTCAAGGTATTTCTGTAGTCAGCTTTTCTCAACCTTGCCTCCTCCTCTTCCCCAATTCCTCAAACCACCACCATCACTAGTTCCTGTTTTCTTTTTTATAGGTATTTTTTAAATATTTACATTTAAAATTAAATTGCTCCTTGAATTTACTTTCTCCTCTGTTTCCTAGATACTGGCTCCAATACTACCGAATGAATAGGAAAAAATGGCTTTTTTATGCCATCTTCTGTTATTATTCATCGCTTTTTGAAGAGAAGCATAGAAGAGACTTTTTTTATTTATTCTAACATTTCTGAAATGACTACACTGTGCTATACTATCAGAATTCCATCAGAAAGAAGCTTGTAACCTCTTATATTACCTTTATTATACAGCATGAAGAAACGTAACTTTTTTTTAATGACAAATCAAAAGTTGTTGCCTTCTAAGAACATTCTTTAATAAACTTATTTTAAAACTCAGTGTGAGTAATAATTGGTGGAGCTATTAAGCTAGCAGTATGAAGATATTAGATAAGCATTTTGAAAGAGTTTCATGTTTCTTGCAAAGGAAATTAGAAAATGCATTTAATAAAGTCATCTTGGTTTTGTCAGTTGTAACTTTATCTGATGAAAGCATAAGCAGGGACAAAACTGAATTCTGGATGGAATTTACTAAGAAAACCCCTTTTTTTCTAAAGTACAAAACCAGGAATAATCATTGGTTTGAAAAGTCTAAGTACAACTTGATTAAGAAAGTTAGACAATCTTTAGTTAGCTACTGTAGAAAAAACCAAAAAACCTATTCCAAATAATGTAAAATAGTCCCTACATGACAGGTAAATTATTTCTAGAACTGGCCATATTGATGAGGTTTCATGCATTTTTAAATGATCTACACCTTATGAGTTATTAGATTTCAATTAAAAGTCCTAAATGTATGATATTTGTTCCCATACCTTTATGTACTTGAAGGAAAAAAGTTTCCTTTGTCTAGGAGTATATAATGAAGAATGTGGCATTTCTAAACTGTCAAAGCAAAAGAATGCCAGGCACCTGGTAGTTGAGTGACTGGAATTAAGCAGCTGACTATAGATGAATCAAGACCAACTATTTTTAATAAAGGCATGGCCCTCTTTATCAGAGGAGGTTTTTGATAGCCTCTTCCTGTGGTCAACCCCTTTCCACCCCTAGTTTAATGCACTGAAGATACTACCTAGGGATGAAAGGTTACCTTTTTCTCTGCTCAGAGATAAAAGAGTTGGCAGTAATCTTCAGCAAAATAGCTTTTCATAAACCAATTAAAATGTTAGTTCTTTATATTATACATTATCCCCTTTTTTCAGTTGTAGAAGCAGCATGTTATGTATTAGGTGTCACCATTTTTAAGAACCCAGAGCTGAAGTCTGATTTATTTAGCAGTGTAGAAATGAGACTTTTTGTTTGTAGGATAATAGCAAACATTACTAACTTTATTATGTGTGATACCAAGTGCTATATGTGTTACATATATTCTCCTGGGTAGTCCTCACAACAACCCTGGAAAGAAGTTTGTTTCTTTTTTATAGATTATGAACTTGAAACTTAGCCTGTCTGACTTACCAAAGTCACATAGGTAGGATTTTTCTTAATTGCAGTTAAGTCATAAGTAAGGCCTTTTTACTTTTGGGGTTCAACATTGTGGTAAAGAGACAGGATGTTGGTAGTAAATTTACAGTGGTTGTAGAAACTAGAATATTTCTTAAGGAATAAGTCTTGGTTTAAACTTTTATCCTGTTATTAGCAGTCACTGAAATCTTCCAGAAAGGAAGATACGGCTGGAGTTATATACCTGTTTGGGAACTTAAAATCCTATAAATGATGTCAAGAGAGTGCTTGCAAAAGATACAGAAGCAGCATATTGACCCTAGGTGAGGAGTGTCTTATATGGTTAACTGGCTTGACGTAATGGGATAATGATTTATGCCATGCCATGGGTGCTCCGACAGTTACTCCAGTGAGTGCAGCCCTTAACTCTAACATTAAAACTAACTTTCTCATCTTTGCAACCCATTCTGTGTAATCTATTCCCATGTTCTCTGCCTAAACTTCACTACCAGCCATCATCGCATAGTCTGTTCCAGTTAAGCTTGAGAAAGAAATTTTAAAAAGTTGTTGGATCTAAGATTTCTCTTAAATTTTTAGTTATACTGTTTCCTCTTTTTTTCATGCCTGTTCTCTTAGAATCAAAATCCTACCCATCCTTCAAAATTTAAACCCAGTTGTATCTCTGTAGCTCAAATTGTCTTCCCTTCTGACCTCTTACAAAATATTCATTCATTTATTTATTTTTAATTGACACATTGATGTTTATGCAGTACAGTTATAGTTCCATACATATATATAATGTGTGATGATCAAATCAGAGTAATTAGCATATTTGTTATCACAAAAAATTATGATTTGTGTTGAGAGTATTTGAGCTCTCTTTCGGCCAACTGAGAACGTACTATAAATTATTGTTAATTACAGATGCCTGGCAGCACTGTAAACCTTTAGAACTTATTTGTCCTGTCTAGCTGTACTTTTGTATCCATTAACCACCCTCTCACTATCCCCCCTCCAGTCTCCTTCCCAGCCTCTAGTAACAATTCTACTCTCTACTTCTATAAGCTCAACTTTTTTTTTCTTTACCTCCCACATATGAGTGAAAACATGCAGTGTTTATCTTTCTATTCCTGATTTAATTAACATAATGTCTTCCAGGTTCTTCCACGTTGCCACAAATGACAGGATTTCATTCTTTTTTATGGCCAAGTAGTATTCCATTATGTGTATATACCATATTTTATCCAGTCATCTGTTGATAGACACCTAGGTCGATTCCATATCTTGGCTATTGTGAATAGTGCAGTAAACATGGGGATGTATATATCTCTCACTAGGCTAATTTCCTTTCCTTTGGGTAAATACCCAGCCGCAGGATTGCTGGATCACATGGTAGTTTTCAGTTTTTTGAGGAATCTAAAGGAGTCACTTAAATACATGGGGAAAGGGGAAAAAAAAAAAAAAAAAGACAATTTTGAGGAATCTAAAGGAGTCACTTAAATACATGGGGAAAGGGGAAAAAAAAAAAAAAAAAAGACAATATAAGTGTTTTTGAGAACAAATATGTTTCTCCCAAAGGAGGGCTGGAGGATCATTCAGATACATGTTGAATTTTTATTTTGCATTGCAGTTAGTTTTTGAATAGTATCCAAAGAAAGCATTCATGCACACATGTTTATTAAGCTCTTGTTGTATGCCAGGCACACAGACTAGAAAAATACTTGGAAGAGTAGAACTGTAAGATATAGTTCAATCTAGACTTTTCCTTTAAATATAGTTCTGCAGTATTAAGTGATTTGTACTTTGCTCAGCATATTGAGCAGAAGGCCAACTCTGATAGAACAGGTTTTTGTTCAGACTGATTCAACTTGGATCAGTCTAGTACTCAGATACTAGTACTTATACAGGTAACTGGTGCAGAATCCTTAGAATTTATACTACACATTCCGTCAGTCAAAACAAATTATGTTATAATCTCATACTTGGGTTAGTCACCATACATACCTCTGCTTTTGCCTGGGCACGGGTGCTGAAGTGAAAGCTTGACATTGCCTCCTGTCAGTTTAATTATTTGCATACACATCACATGACTGACACTTGCACTGAGGTGTGTGTCTTCTAATCTTCCCGTAGGGTAACTCAGACTTTACTGGAAACATAGAAATGGGTCAGCAAGTGCTTGCTTTTGCTCTCCCACCTGACCACAGGCTTCAGTTGAAAGGGCGCACAGACCCGAGCTGACAGTTTGCCAGAGAAGTTCCACTTTATTCAAGGACTGCGTGTATATTTATAGGGAGCTGCGTTCAGGGTTTTGATAGGGGGTGGACGGGCGGTAGCTGATTGGATGGGGCTGGGCCGGAGGTGAGCCTTGACGTGTGACTGGCTGAGGTTTGGCGCAGGTGGGCTTGGGTGTTGGCACCGGTGGGCTTGTTTACTGCGGAGAAGAACCATTAAGCTCTTGTTGTATGCCAGGCACACAGACTAGAAAAATACTTGGAAGAGTAGAACTGTAAGATATAGTTCAATCTAGACTTTTCCTTTAAATATAGTTCTGCAGTATTAAGTGATCTGTACTTTGCTCAGCATATTGAGCAGAAGGCCAACTCTGTGATAGAACAGGTTTTTGTTCAGACTGATTCAACTTGGATCAGTCTAGTACTCAGATACTAGTACTTATACAGGTAACTGGTGCAGAATCCTTAGAATTTATACTACACATTCCGTCAGTCAAAACAAATTATGTTATAATCTCATACTTGGGTTAGTCACCATACATACCTCTGCTTTTGCCTGGGCACGGGTGCTGAAGTGAAAGCTTGACATTGCCTCCTGTCAGTTTAATTATTTGCATACACATCACATGACTGACACTTGCACTGAGGTGTGTGTCTTCTAATCTTCCCGTAGGGTAACTCAGACTTTACTGGAAACATAGAAATGGGTCAGCAAGTGCTTGCTTTTGCTCTCCCACCTGACCACAGGCTTCAGTTGAAAGGGCGCACAGACCCGAGCTGACAGTTTGCCAGAGAAGTTCCACTTTATTCAAGGACTGCGTGTATATTTATAGGGAGCTGCGTTCAGGGTTTTGATAGGGGGTGGACGGGCGGTAGCTGATTGGATGGGGCTGGGCCGGAGGTGAGCCTTGACGTGTGACTGGCTGAGGTTTGGCGCAGGTGGGCTTGGGTGTTGGCACCGGCGGGCTTGTTTACTGCGGAGAAGAACCAGGAAGGGCGCCATATTGCTAGGGAATGCTTTCCCCCTTCCCCCTCCGCTTGAGTGCCCACGGTGTCCTTACATCAGTGATACAAGCTTAGTTTCCTGATAATGTGGAAGAGGGAAAGAAATCCATTACAGTAGTCGATCTACTGTCAGGACTAACAGTGAAAGAAAACCGGGCTTTTTATGAAAATGTGGGGTCAGTCCTCTCTAGATGCACAGCTACATGCTGCTTTAACACCTAAATGATGGACAAAGAATTGTCTGTTCCTTGGGTTTAATGTCAGACTAGTGCTTGATTAACTTGTTTATTGTGATCTACCTTAAGCATATTCGGAGGCGGGGGGGAGGAGGGGAAGTAAATATTTTATCTTTTGTTAGATATCACTCACACTGTCATAACACACTGATGTGTTGCCTTCAGTTTTGAGTGGGTCACTAATTGCTACTAATAATAGAATTCTGAAATTTAAATATGTACATATATTTGAAATTATAACATGTATATGAGTGTGGTTATATATATATGAATCAACTGAGGAAGCAATTATTTGAAGCAGCGTTATGAAATTTGGATTCAATGAAAACAGTGCGTGGTAAAAAGTGGAAAATACAATTGATTTTGTAGAAGGAGAGCAGATTACAGGAGGCCTCGAAAACTGGGCAGAGAAATTCTTTTG